AAAAAAAATGAGGAAAGAAAGAAGAAAAAAAGATGGAAAAAAGGAAAGAAAAAAAGTAGAAGGAAAGTTTTCTATGGAAGCTTGGATTTAAAGCTACCTAATGCGTGTACAACTGCAAATTTAAAATAAGAAACAAATATAGAAAGAATAAAAAAAACATGAAAAAAAAGAAAAGAAAAAAAGTTTATACCATATATGGGACTCTACTTCTAGAATATTACAATAGGTTTCAGTAGGTGCCACAATTTCCATGAATAATATCCAGGTTAATTAGTGTACAATAGCACATGCATCATTAAATAACTGTGGAAAGAAAAATGAATTCTTACATCTCCTCAGCAATACTATGACAACATCAACCTCTTCTCTTAGGATATAATCTAAAAAGGAAAAATTCTGATCCGGATTTAACGATTCGCTTACTAAGAGAATTAGGACCTCCATCACACAATTGCATGACCTTCTCCATGGTATTTACTAAAGCCAATTTTCTATCCTCATCTTCGTCCTTGATCATTGTTTTTGCATACGTCAAAGTTTATCAATGACAAAATATCCTCAAACAAAAGAAAGTTTCTATTCAGCTCTTCAATTAAAAAAAGACCAGGTTGATGTAAACCAAGCTAAAACTAATTAGCTTTTCATACAATTTTCTGTTAAGAACCACAAACAAGAGATCAAAATTCTTAGATTTCTAAAAAAGAGAACAATATATGCAACGCAATTACATAGTAGTTGTTTAAATGCTGATCATACCATGTAGATCAAAATCTTCCACGTATCCGCCTTGAAAGAAGGAAAACTGTGCTTCTTCTAATTGACTCCTTTCTTCTATTGGATTTGAACTATTCAAATCTTGAAATTCCATGACATAGTCCCCAATCCATTAACTTCCTCTAGATTGAAAAAGAAAACAAGATTTGAGCATTCAAAAAAGCGAAAGCACCAAAATTATATATAAGTTATGCAGGTTAAATTTTACAGATGCAATCTTCAGAAAACTCGTGGTTTGAGAAGATGAGTTTGAACCAAATAATTTCAAGCCCCGCTGATAAGTAAATCAATTTTTTCCTATACTACACCTATACACTAAAGTCAAAATTCAAAAAGTTTCAAATTTAATTGAATAATATTAGCACACAAAACCTTTTCTCAACAGTATATTTGTTGCAAAACTAACCGTCCTCTCTCTTTCAATGGGAGCTGACATTTGTTTCAAATGAAATTCAAGTATCATGAATCTAAAAATCTCTACTTAAATAAAATAGAGTCATGAACCTAAAAATCTCCACCCAAAATCAAATAGTAATTAAATATAACAAAAATCTTATATTTTAATTATCGATAATACAAGAAGTTTAGCATACAAAACCTATCAAATAATAATAATTTTGCTTATGAGGTCAGTAGATGAACTATTAAAAGAAGAATACTTAGAGGTTGCTAAAGGCGAGATCTTAGTATTGAATTCTTTATACCTGTTGAAAGCTAGCATGGCTTCGAATGGAGTAATAACTGGAGTTAATTACTCTTTGCTATCCAAAAGAGAAGTTGAGTGCAAGATACATAATGAAAATATCACACTAATACGGAAGACAAAAGATTACTAACTTCAAAGTCTTAACTTCCGTAGCAATTGGAAATGATAATCTACATATAAAAAGTCTACCTCAAGAAGGTTGGCAAGTTTTGCAGGATTTGGTTTTCCCATGACTAGTGTGTAAGCTTCTTTCCCTGCTACAGTCATTAGTCCTTTCATCTCATGAATCGTATGAAGGTAACCTGCTGCAGCAATGATCAGTTTAGCATCATAATGATGCATAACAAAACTAGATATGTTAATAAAACAATACCTAACATCAGTTGACATCACAGAGGTAGATATCACCATCATACAACAATATGTAAGTTTTTATAGAGTTCAATACTAAAACATCAGAATGGGAGTAACCAGAACCTACTTAAAATATAAGGGCCATAATAATGAACACGACTAATAACATGAATAAGTGATCAAGAGGGGTAGAGAAGGATGACTATGTTGAAAATAATACCTACGCTTAAAAATCCGTATCTGTTGAGAAAAATCTGTCACCAAAGAATTTTCTGTTGCATCATACCTTGCTAAAACCAACCACATAATTAAAAAGAAAGTAATTAAAAAGGACGAATAGTCATAACAAAGGAACAAGAATATCTTATTCTGTTTTTTTTAATATATAATCTATTTTAACAAACTAATGACAGCTAACACATATCAATAATAATAATTTGATTTTGTGATCTACTTTTCCAAAGCACATGCTTAAAAAAAAACATCAAACCAGATCATAGAATATACATGTATATTTGCAATAAGTGTCGCAGGTTTTACAGCATGCAAATAGCAAATGCAAGGAATTGAATAAAAGAAGCAAAAGTTGAATCTTTACCTCTTATTGACAGTAATTTCTTTTTACATTCCTGTCTTTTGGCCTGCCTAAAAGAGATCATACTAATATGCATTAAGTTCTTTTTCTATGAAAAAATTAATATCAAAGAGAAAAGGAGAATATACAAAATACAGAAGATGATTAGATACATTCCCAAAAAATAGAAATAAACTAAAATGAAGACAGGCTAATACCCCTTAACAAGGAATACCATCCAAACTGAATATACAATCAGTGACCAATATATAGGTCAGTAGCATCGTGCTTCATTCAATAACAATGAGAGAAAAAAAATGTTTTACCTCTTTTTACCAACAACTATGCCAACGTCATCTGCTTCTCCTAACCCTCCTAAAAGACCATTTCAATATGCTAATATGTGATCATGAAACTTGATAAGGTACCTCTTTCTCATTGATGGACTTTCCTTATAAGCTCAGATTCAGAAATATTTTATTATAAATTTATAAGAAAAAGAAAGAAACGAGGAAAGAAAGAAGGAAAAAAAAAGAAAAACAATGGTAGAAATAAAGTTTTCTACGTAAGCTTGAATTTTAAGTTACCTAATGCATGTATGACTGCAAATTTAAATTAGGAAACAAACATAGAAAGAAAGAAAAAACATGAAAGGAAAGGAAAAAAAAGAGAGAAAGAAAGAAAGTTTTCTACCTATCTTGGATTCTACATCTAGAATGCTTCAATCGCTTTCAGCGAGTGCCACAATATCCAAGAACAATATGTAGGTTATGTAGTGTACAATAACAAATGCATTAGCAGATAACGATAAAAAGAACAATGAATCCTTACATCTCCTCAGCAATAATTATGTCAACATCCTCCTCTTCTCTTATTATATGATCCAGAAAAGAAAATTTCTAATCCCGATTTAGCACTTAGCTTAGTAAGAGAATTAGGATCTCCATCACACAATTGCAAAGCCTTTTCTATAGTATTTACGAAAGCCATAGTTCCATCCTCATCTTCCTCCTTGATCATTGTTTCTGGATAATTCAATGTTTATCAATGATAAAATATCCCCCTTACAAAAGAAAGCTTTTATTCAGCAATTAAATGTCATTACAACATTTGCAAATATTGAATTATCATAGCCAATCCAAAAAGCAAGTAGTTCTTCATTTTGTGCCCTTAAGGTAAATCCTAGATCAAGCCTCCATTGTTATACATAGTACTGGTTGCTCGACCAATAAAACTGTCATCACTAGCATGACAACTAAATAGTTCAGGGAGTCATTGCAAATTTAATTAAATGATGTTAAGTGTTTAACCTACCTCTTTCTCACTAACCAACAATTCAGGCAAGGCCGGATTCAGAGCAAATAATCCCATCAATCATTGCAAATTTAATTAAAAGAAAGAAACAAAAAAACACAAAAAGGAAGAATGAAAATTTTCTACCAAAGCTCATATTCTACTTCTAATGCAAAGTGATTATGTAGTATTAGCATAGAAAACACACAACACATATAATGAAACAAAGAAAAAAAGAAAGAAGGAAGGAAGGAAAGAAAAGCAAAGCAAAAAAAAAAAAAGAAACATCTTTCTCAAGGGGAATCAAATAGTACAGGGTTGACTTATCAAAACTGCATATTTAAATGATAAACTTAAATTAACAAACCAAACATAGAAAGAAACACAAAACACAAATAAAGGAAAGAACATAAAAAAAAAAATTCTATCATATCTCGGATTCTACCTCTAGAATGCTTCAGTTGCTTTCAGTGAATGCGGCAATATCCATGCAAGTTATGTAGTGTACAATTGTAAATGCATCATTAAATAATTGTGAAAAGGAAAACGAATCATTACATCTCCTAAGCAATAAATATGCTAAACTGTCAAAAGCCACATCAATATGCTATAAATGATAATAGCTACTTAATATACCTCTTTCCCACTGACTAACCATTCACATAAGGTCGGACTCAGAGAAAACAATCCCATCTATCATAGCAAATTTAATTAAAAGAAAGAAAAAAAAAAAAAAAAGACTTTTCTACCAAAGCTTAAATTCTACCTCAAATGCAAAGAGATTATATAGTATTCGCCTAGAAAATATATCATGCAAATAATGAAATAAAGAAATAACAAAGGAATGAAGGAAAGAAAAGCAAAGCAAAGAAAAGAAAAGTGTTTCTCCTCGGGAATCAAACAGTGCAAGTAGATCAAGTCGTACGTAGTTATGTCTAATCCGCGAACTCTAATAAAAAATTAAAATGCTTAAATTTGACTAAACTTGGAGCAGTACTCCACGCTGCCTACGTACCTTCTTTTTGAGAAACAAATCATACATAATTCTACTCCATTTATTTCATTTTTTATTAGACTTAATGGATAATAAAGTATTATATTTCAAGAAAAATGAAGACAAACCGCAACGTATTCTGGCTCCCTTGGATTTCAAGATGATGAAAAAATTCAAAATATAATACATTTCAAATATTTCTATATTTCTAGAGAAAAAATAGATAAAACTCTACATTGATGACTTGTGTGATTCACCGTTATTTCAAGAGAACTTGAAAAATGGAATTGAGTTTACAGCAAGCTAAATGAAGAATCAAAAGAAATATCTTTTAAGTCTACTAGTATTCTTGAAAATTTTGAAAAAATTGCTTTCATAGCACAAGCAACCTTCAAAAATAAATTATATTACTTTTTGGATTTTGAAGGAAATAAGAAAAGAAATAATCAGTTTTTTCTTAGTACAATCAAGTTTAAAGATCGACAGAACAAAATTACGTTATCGTCAAATGCTAAGAAAGAACTCATTCTTCCCCTCCAAAAATTCAAAAAGCTACATATGCATTTCTAGAATATTGTTTGTTCTAAAAGAAAGCAATGGATTTTTCTTTTTCAACTTTTTCAAAAGTACCTATTACATTTGAAATTCATTACCTTCGTTTCTTCATTATTCTTGTCGAGACTACATTCAATTTCCTAATCACTTTTGAAGTAATCGATATTATACGAATGATCAAAAATTTCAATTTCTCTTTTATCTTGAAATCCGACATAATCAAAAAACATTGTTCATTTTTAGATTACTTTAACAACGACTAGAACACATTACATTCATCACTTTCCTATTCGTAAAATCTAATAAAAGATTGAAATGCTTAAATCTAACTAGACATAGAGTACTACTCCAAGTTGTCTAGATACCTTCTTTATGAGGATCAAGTCATACGTAATTCTACTTAATCCATGAAGTCTAAATAAAAAATTTAAATGTTTAAATTTGACTGAACTTGGAGTAGTACCTTCTCTTTGATAATCAAATCATACGTACTTTTGATTATTCTACGAATTCTCGTAAAAAAATTAAAATGCTTAAATTTGACTGAATTTGGTGTGGTACACCAAACTACTTACGTACCTTCTTTTTGAGCATCAAGTCATATGTATTTTTTCTCCATTCATTTACCTTTTAATAAAACTTCATGGACAATAAAGTATTGTATTTCATGAAAACTTAAACAAAACAGTGTTTTATGAAATAAGATTTCGAGATGAAAAGAAATTAAAAATATAGGACCTTTCAAATATTTATATATTTCAAAAAAAAATAGAAGATGAAACTCTAATTCTTTTGTTCACTTATATAATTTTCGATTGTTACCAGAGATATTGGGAAATGAAATGGAGTTTATAGCAATGTAAATGAAGAGTGGAAGACAATAACTTTTGAAGCTACCCACTATTTTTTGAAAAAGTTGAAAAAAATCACTTTCGTAGTACAAGTAGGTTTAAAGAATGGCTTATGTTCCTTTTGGGATTTTGAATGCGATAAGAAAAAAAAGAATTGATACTTTCTTAGCACAATCAAATTTAAAAATCGACAGAACAAGACTATGTTACGGTCAAATGGTAAGAAAGCACAGATTCGCTCCCATCAAAATCTAAAAAATCACATAAGTCATTCTTCAAGGTTGCTTTCGCTAAAACAAAGCAATGTAATTTTCTTTTTCAACATTTTTAAAAATAGCCAGTACATTTAATAACTAGACATAGAGTACTACTCCAAGTTGTCTAGATACCTTCTTTACGAGGATCAAGTCATACGTAATTCTACTTAATCCATGAAGTCTAAATAAAAAATTTAAATGTTTAAATTTGACTGAACTTGGAGTGGTACCTTCTTTTTGATAATCAAGTCATACGTACTTTTGATTATTCCACGAATTCTCATAAAAAAATTAAAATGCTTAAATTTGACTGAACTTGGTGTGGTACACCAAACTACTTACGTACCTTCTTTCTGAGCATCAAGTCATATGTATTTTTTCTCCATTCATTTACCTTTTAATAAGACTTCATGGACAATAAAGTACTGTATTTCATGAAAACTTAAACAAAACAGTGTTTTATGAAATAAGATTTCGAGATGAAAAGAAATTAAAAATATAGGAACTTTCAAATATTTATATATTTTAAAAAAAATGGAAGATGAAACTCTATTTCTTTTATTCGCTTATATAATTTTCGATTGTTACCAGAGATATTGGGAAATGAAATGGAGTTTATAGCAATGTAAATGAAGAGTGGAAGACAATAACTTTTGAAGCTACCCACTATTTTTTGAAAAAGTAAAAAAAAAGAATTGATACTTTCTTAGCACAATCAAATTTAAAAATCGACAGAACAAAACTATGTTACGGTCAGATGGTAAAAAAGCACAGATTCACTCCCTTCAAAATCTAAAAAATCACATAAGCCATTCTTCAAGGCTGTTTTCGCTGAAACAAAGCAATGTAATTTTCTTTTTCAACATTTTTAAAAATAGCCAGTGCATTTAATAACTAGACATAGAGTACTACTCCAAGTTGTCTAGATACCTTCTTTATGAGGATCAAGTCATACGTAATTCTACTTAATCCATGAAATCTAAATAAAAAATTTAAATGTTTAAATTTGACTGAACTTGGAGTGGTACCTTCTTTTTGATAATCAAGTCATACGTACTTCTGATTATTCCACGAATTCTCATAAAAAAATTAAAATGCTTAAATTTGACTGAACTTGGTGTGGTACACCAAACTACTTACGTACCTTCTTTTTGAGCATCAAGTCATATGTATTTTTTCTCCATTCATTTACCTTTTAATAAGACTTCATGGACAATAAAGTACTGTATTTCATGAAAACTTAAACAAAACAGTGTTTTATGAAATAAGATTTCGAGATGAAAAGAAATTAAAAATATAGGACCTTTCAAATATTTATATATTTCAAAAATAATGGAAGATGAAACTCTATTTCTTTTGTTCACTTATATAATTTTCGATTGTTACCAGAGATATTGGGAAATGAAATGGAGTTTATAGCAATGTAAATGAAGAGTGGAAGACAATAACTTTTGAAGCTACCCACTATTTTTTGAAAAAGTTGAAAAAAATCACTTTCGTCGTACAAGTAGGTTTAAAGAATGGCTTATGTTCATTTTGGGATTTTGAATGCGATAAGAAAAAAAAAGAATTGATACTTTCTTAGCACAATCAAATTTAAAAATCGACAGAACAAGACTATGTTACGGTCAAATGGTAAGAAAGCACAGATTCGCTCCCTTTAAAATCTAAAAAATCACATAAGCCATTCTTCAAGGTTGCTTTCGCTGAAATAAAGCAATGTAATTTTCTTTTTCAACATTTTTAAAAATAGCCAGTGCATTTAATAACTAGACATAGAGTACTACTCCAAGTTGTCTAGATACCTTCTTTATGAGGATCAAGTCATACGTAATTCTACTTAATCCATGAAGTCTAAATAAAAAATTTAAATGTTTAAATTTGACTGAACTTGGAGTGGTACCTTCTTTTTGATAATCAAGTCATACGTACTTCTGATTATTCCACGAATTCTCATAAAAAAATTAAAATGCTTAAATTTGACTGAACTTGGTGTGGTACACCAAACTACTTACGTACCTTCTTTCTGAGCATCAAGTCATATGTATTTTTTCTCCATTCATTTACCTTTTAATAAGACTTCATGAACAATAAAGTACTGTATTTCATGAAAACTTAAACAAAACAGTGTTTTATGAAATAAGATTTCGAGATGAAAAGAAATTAAAAATATAGGAACTTTCAAATATTTATATATTTTAAAAAAAATAGAAGATGAAACTCTATTTCTTTTATTCACTTATATAATTTTCGATTGTTACCAGAGATATTGGGAAATGAAATGGAGTTTATAGCAATGTAAATGAAGAGTGGAAGACAATAACTTTTGAAGCTACCCACTATTTTTTGAAAAAGTAAAAAAAAAGAATTGATACTTTCTTAGCACAATCAAATTTAAAAATCGACAGAACAAAACTATGTTACGGTCAGATGGTAAAAAAGCACAGATTCACTCCCTTCAAAATCTAAAAAATCACATAAGCCATTCTTCAAGGCTGTTTTCGCTGAAACAAAGCAATGTAATTTTCTTTTTCAACATTTTTAAAAATAGCCAGTGCATTTAATAACTAGACATAGAGTACTACTCCAAGTTGTCTAGATACCTTCTTTATGAGGATCAAGTCATACGTAATTCTACTTAATCCATGAAATCTAAATAAAAAATTTAAATGTTTAAATTTGACTGAACTTGGAGTGGTACCTTCTTTTTGATAATCAAGTCATACGTACTTCTGATTATTCCACGAATTCTCATAAAAAAATTAAAATGCTTAAATTTGACTGAACTTGGTGTGGTACACCAAACTACTTACGTACCTTCTTTTTGAGCATCAAGTCATATGTATTTTTTCTCCATTCATTTACCTTTTAATAAGACTTCATGGACAATAAAGTACTGTATTTCATGAAAACTTAAACAAAACAGTGTTTTATGAAATAAGATTTCGAGATGAAAAGAAATTAAAAATATAGGACCTTTCAAATATTTATATATTTCAAAAATAATGGAAGATGAAACTCTATTTCTTTTGTTCACTTATATAATTTTCGATTGTTACCAGAGATATTGGGAAATGAAATGGAGTTTATAGCAATGTAAATGAAGAGTGGAAGACAATAACTTTTGAAGCTACCCACTATTTTTTGAAAAAGTTGAAAAAAATCACTTTCGTCGTACAAGTAGGTTTAAAGAATGGCTTATGTTCCTTTTGGGATTTTGAATGCGATAAGAAAAAAAAGAATTGATACTTTCTTAGCACAATCAAATTTAAAAATCGACAGAACAAGACTATGTTATGGTCAAATGGTAAGAAAGCACAGATTCGCTCCCTTCAAAATCTAAAAAATAACATAAGCCATTCTTCAAGGTTGCTTTCGCTGAAACAAAGCAATGTAATTTCTTTTTCAACATTTTTAAAAATAGCCAGTACATTTAAAAATCGTTTTAGATTTCTCATTTGTCTTGCTGTAGATTCCATTCATTTCCTAACCTCTTTTGAAGAAATTGAAAATTAGACGAGTAATTAAAAGAATGTTAAATTTATCTTTCATTTTTCTAAAAATATGGAAGTCTTTAAAGACTATCATATTTTCGGATTCTCTTTCATCTTGAAAACGAAACAGAATTAGAAAAAACTATGTTTCATATTCAGTTTATTTGAAATCCAACACTGATTGGAAAAAATTATATTCAGTACTTTATTATCCATGTAAGTTTAATAACAATTTGAAATACATAAATTTGACGGGACTTGGATTAGTACTTTAAGCTGACTATGTACCTTCCTTTTGAGAATCAAGTGATATGTAGTTCTTCTCAATCATCGAATTCCAATAAAAAATTTAAATGATTAAATTTGATTGAATTTGGTGTAGTACATCAAACTGCCTATGTACCTTTTTTTTTATAATTAAGTCATACGTAGTTCTGCTCTCTTTATTTTATTTTTTATAAGACTTTGATAAAGCAGTAAATTTCTTAAGCACATGTAACTAAGCAGAGTTCGATAATTCGAGAGATAGTGGAACAAGAATTACTATTGGGAGTTAGAAAATTTGAAGAGTTAAAGAGATGATGGCTGAAGAAGAAACTAGGAATGATGAATCACTTGAGTTAGCCCATATCATAACCTTCAACACAATAAAGACCAATTAGTCAAGTGACTCCTAATCCAAAATCTATCTTGAAACATAGAAATTAAAAATTTATTAGGACAGGACAAGGTCATATAACACCAAACCAACATTTGGCAAGATTTATACTGAGTCAGTTTGCTAAGTTTTTTGCCTCTAAATGCATCACTTGCTCTCAGGGATAAATAGATTATGCAGTATATGATTAGCAAATGCATCAATTAATAATTATGAACAGAAAACTAAATCAAAGAAATAAATCATAGAATATACATATATATATATCTGTAATAAGCGTCATAAGTTTTACAGCACGCAAATAGCAAATGCAAGGAACTGAATAAAAGAAGCGAAAGTTGAATCTTTACTTCTTATTGGCAATAATTCCTTTACTCATCCCTATCTTTTGATCTGCCTAAAAGAGATCATACTGATATGCAATAAGTTCTTTTCTTATAAAAAAAATAATATTAAAAAAAATGGACAATATATAAAAAAGAGAAGATTGAGACAAACTAAAACCCTTTAAAAAGGAATACCATCTCAACTGAACATGCAATCAATGATCAATAAATAGGTCAACAGTATAATGATAACAAATGCTTCATTCAATAATAATGAGAAGCAAAAAGAATCTTTTACCTCTTCTTGCCAATAACAATGCCAACATCATCCGCTTCTCTTAACCCGCCTAAAAGACCACTTCAATATGCTAATATGTAATCAGGGAACTTGACAAGGTAACTCTTTCTCATTGATGGACTTTCCACGTGAGCTCACATTCAAAACTATTTATATGAAAAAAGGAAAGAAATGAGGAAAAAAAGAAAGAAAAAAGAAAAGAAAAAAGGTATAAAGAAAGTTTTCTATGGAAGCTTGGATTTGAAGCTACCAACTGCATGTATGACTACAAATTTAAATTAAGAAACGGGCATAGAAAGAAAGAAGAAAAACAAAAAAAGAAAAACAAAAAAGAAAGTATTTACCATATCTGGGATTCTACCTTTAGAATGCTTCAGTCGCTTCCAGTGATTGCCGCAATATCCGTGAACAATACGCAGCTTATATAGTGTACAATAGCAAATGCATCATTAAATAACTGTGGAAAAGATAATGAATTCTTACATCTCATCAGCAATAATTATGCCAACATCCTCCTCTTCTCTTAGGGTATGATTTAGAAAGGAAAAATTCTGATCTAGATTTAGTTGTTCGCTTAGTAAGAGAATTAGGATCTCCATTGCGCAATTGCAAGGTCTTTTCCATGGTATTTAGCAAAGCCAAAATTCCATCCTCATCTTCCTCCTTGATCATTGTTTCTGCATAATTCAAGCATTATCAATGATAACATATTCCCCAACAAAAGAAAGCTTCTATTCAGCTCTTCAATTGAAGAAAACCACATTCATGTAAAATAAGCCAAGACTAGATAGTTTTATACAATTTTCTGTTAAGAACCACAAACAAGAGATCAAAAATCATCCTATTTCCATTCACGTACCATCCTTCCCAAAAATATGATAAGTGAAAGCAGTCACACTAAAAAAGTTAAAAAATGATTTTATTTATTCCCTATTGATTTGAAGTTAACATAACTAAAATGATACCACCCTTTCCACAGCAGCATTTCTTCAAGGTTGTAGAGAGAGAGAGAGATGAGGTTTTTTATAAAGAAAAAAAAATTTGTTTACGAAATTCAAAAGATAGAACTTTTATCCTTTTTTTTTTTAAATTCTTAGACTTCTAAGAAGAGAACAATATATGCAATGCAATTACATAATAGCTGCCAAAACTTGTTAATGCAGATAAAAATCTTACACATATCCACCCTGAAAACAGTGCTTCTTCTAATTGATTCCTTTCTTCTATTGGATTTGAACTACTCAAATCTTGAAATTTCATGACATAGTCCCCAATCCATTAACTTCCTCTAGATTGAAAAAGAAAACAAGATTTGAGCATTCAAAAAGTGAAAGCGCCAAAATATATATAAGCTATGCAGGTTAAAATTAGATGCAATCTTCAGAAAACTCGTGGTTTAACAAGATGAGTTTGAACCAAATATTTTAAAGCCCCGCTGAAAAGTAAATCAAGTCTTTCATGTACTAAACCTAAACACTAAAATCAAAATTCAGAAAGTTTCTAATTTAATTGAATAACATTAACACACAAAACCTTTCCTCAACACTATATTTGTTGTAAAACTAACCGTCCTCTCCCTTTCAATGGGAGCTACCATGCATTTCAAATGAAATCTAAGTATCATGAATCTAAAAATCTCAACTTAAATAAAATAGAACATGAACTTAAAAATCTCTACTCAAATCAAATAGTAATTAAATATAACAAAAATCTTGTATTTTAATTATCGATAGTACAAGAAGTTTAGCATACAAAACCTACCAAATAATCATAATCTCGCTTATGAGAGCAGTAGAAATTAAAAAGAAGAATACTTAGAGGTTGCTAAAGGTGAAATCTTAGTACTGAATTCCATATACTTGTTGAAAGCCAGCATGACTTCGAATAGAGTAATAACTGGAGCTAATAACTCTTTGCTATCCAAAAGAGCAGTTTGAGCGCAGAACATAGATGAAAATATCACACTG